TGATAACTCCATGTTTATAAAAAATGCAATTAAATTTGGTTTGTGCCAAAGCTAATAAGAAAGTGATACAAGATAAAAATGGGGAGTGTGATCATTTATCACAGTTCTGTTGTCTGGTTCATATAAGGCACGAGGAAAGCGTGCGATGTTTTCCGGTCAACATACAATGTAAAAAGTTTGTTTTTCATTCGTCCAAAAAAGTTATAATTTTGTATACCTGAGTTACAAAATATATGGATATTTAGTATTGTAACAAAACAGAACGGTGCACACGGTCACGAATCCTAAATTATTAGTCTTCGCCTTGCATCACTTATTATTTGATCGCCATGTAAAGAAAAAGTTTAAATTTTGAAGGGTGTTTTTTTTCTATGAACATAATTTTATCGTAGATATTTAGTTGTAAAAAAATATGGACTCAACACCTGTGTTTCGCTCCGAATAATCCCTGCAACACTTTTAAATTATTTTAACTTTTTATTCATTCATACCAAGAAAGCTAGCTGTTTTCTGTCCGAAACTTGCCTTTTCTGGGCGTCTGACTAGCGGAAATTTAATTTTAGAGTTACCAATACAGGTTAGAAACTACACTGGGCGTCGTTATCGGCTGTATCTTGCGAAAGAAGCAAGAGCGACTGGCCATCTAAATGCCGAAAACATTTCACTTCAAAAGCTTGTTTTTTGTTTTGCAGAAAGAAGCAGGGTAACAAGGAAATTAGAAGATGGAAACTTGAATCTCCGGTGATTATACTTTAAAGAGCACTAGCACTTTGACCAGTGTTCGGTGCCGTTGTCCAGCGTTTTGGGGTTCTGTCTAAAGGTTTAAATGGTGAATGAAATTTTTAAATAAATTTTGAAGTTTGAACTTTTGTGAGCTTTTTTGTGTGTATCGGTATTTTCACAGGTATTTCTTGCTTTTAGAATGTTCACGAAGCAAGTCGCAGAATACACCGATATTAAAAAAAAAATAAAATAAACCTGAAGAAACATCCGCAGATTGGCCTTATAAATAAGCACCCCTAAGTCTGTACCCAAGTTATAATGAAAAAATAGGCTGCAGATTTTCTTGTGCTTATTATGAAAAAAAGAAAGTTATTTTGATACAGTTCAAAAGTAATAAGAGATTTTCAGAAATTTTCAACAACAAACTGGCGGCCTTTGGAGCCGGCAAGTCATGTTGGGTCGTTTTTACAAATATAAGAAGTGTTTTAACAAACCGCGACGACCTATTATCACTAATTGAATCATGCACTGCCGACCTCGTCATTCTGACAGAAACGTGGCTGAAACCCGAAATCGCTGACTCAGAAGTGTTCCCCCCCAATATGAATTATACCTTACACAGATGCGACAGACTAACAAAGAGGGGTGGCGGTGTCCTAATCGCTATCCGCAATCATATTAGTGCGTCACAAGTTAATGTTCCAGGTAACCTCGAGATGGTATGGCTTCAACTTCACTCTCAGTGTTCCGATATCTTAATTGGTGTGTGTTACAGAGCACCCGATCATCACGCTAGTTTCATTAGCGAACTTCATGACTCCCTCTCGTCCATCTTTAATACCCTTAAACCAAATGTGTCGGTCATCCTCTTTGGCGACTTTAACTTTCCGAATATCGATTGGAACTCCCTTTCATCAGGTCATCAGTTTCATAATGAGTTCATCGATCTAACTCTTACGTTTAACCTCTCCCAAATGATAACTAAACCAACAAGAGTTAGCCATCACTCTAGCAGCATTCTTGACCTGTGCCTTACTACTGACCCCTCACATGTGAATAACATCACTCATCTTCCCGCTATTAGTGACCACAATGTTATACACTTAAACCTGCAGTTTGACGTCGTCATCAGATCATGCCATTATAAATTTATTAAAGACTACAATAAAGCTGATTATGATGCAATTAATAGAACTCTTCAACAGTTTTATGATACTTTTCATATCAACTTTTATCAAAGAACAGTTGAGGAAAATTGGAATCTCTTTAAAAACAAGGTAACAACTCTGACTGACACGTATGTTCCAACCATCAGAATTAAAACAAACAATGCAAAGCCTTGGTACAACAAGAAAATCTCTAAATTAAGTGCTCGAAAGAAACGACATTTCAAGCAAGCTAAAGAAAAGGACAATACTATTGCATGGGATAATTACAACGCGTCTGCTAAAGAATATAAAAGAGAAGTGAAAAATGCAAAGAACAAATTTTTTAACTTCGACCTTCTTAACATTTTGAAGAATAAGTCTAATAAGTTCTGGGAGATCATTCATCCTAAAGAGCATAAATCCATCCACCTGACTAATATAAATGGAACTCCCGCGTCTGATTGCGAAAGCGCCTCACTAGTAAATACCTACTTTAGCTCAGTATTTACACTAGAAAACAATGACAATATTCCTCTCCTAAATCACCTCTCTCATTCTGCTATGCCTTCTATCGAAATAACATATTTGGGTATAGTGAAAGCAATAGAAAATCTCAAAAATTCTGCCAGCTCCGGTGATGACCAAATAAATTCTAAATTGCTGAAAAACACAAAACATATCTCATCCCAATTTTTAACCCTTATTTTTCAACAGTCACTTGATGTCGGCAAGCTTCCGTTTGATTGGAAAATTGGTAGAGTCATTCCTATTTTTAAAAGTGGGGATCGTAATGTTGTATCGAACTATCGCCCAATATCTCTCACCAGCATCTCATGTAAATTACTAGAGCACGTCATTTTCTCTTCTATCATGAAATATCTGGAAAATTACGATCTGCTTTTTAAAAATCAACATGGTTTTCGTAAGACATATTCGTGTGATACCCAGCTAATACATTTCATTCATGACCTTCACAGTAACCTTGACAAGAGATTACAGACCGATGTCATTTTCATAGACTTTTCTAAAGCATTCGATAAAGTTCCCCACCAACGTCTGCTACAAAAACTAACCCAACTGCGTATTCAGTAACCACTTGGATAAAAAATTTCCTAACCGATCGTACACAATATACTGTTGTAAACGAGTCCCGTTCACCTCTTTCTCGTGTAACGTCCGGCGTACCCCAAGGTAGTGTTCTTGCCCCTTGCTGTTTTTAATATACATTAACGACCTTCCTGCTAATTTAACATCTGAAATTCGCCTCTTTGCTGACGATTGTGCTCTATACAGACCGATAAGTAATAATAATGATCACCTACACTTACAGGCTGACTTACTAATAATAGAAGAATGGTGTCAAACATGGCAAATGACAGTTAATGCAAATAAAACGAAACTAGTGTCTTTCACCAGATCACAGTCCCCATCACTCTTTTCATATCAACTCAACGACACAATAATTGACCCCTGTACATCTTATAAATACCTCGGCGTTCATTTAACCTGTGATCTATCTTGGGCAACTCACATTAATTTTATTTTATCTAAGGCTAATTCATCATTAGGATATCTTCGGCGCAACCTCAAACTGGCCTCACCTGAAATTAAACAATTATCATACATAACATTTGTTAGATCTCGTCTAGAGTATGCGTCTTCTGTATGGTCCCCATGGCAGCATTACCTAGTTATGAAATTAGAGGCAATTCAAAACCGAGCTTTAACGTTCATTTTCTCAGACTACTCTCGTTTCACTAGCGTAAGAGGCCGAAGGAGCAAAGCTAACCTTCACACACTCTCATTTAGGCGCATTCTTTCTCGACTAACCCTGTTTTATAAATTATACTATAACAATGCCTCTATTAGAGTATCCCTCTTCCTTCCACCCCACAGCATATCTCTTCGCCATGATAACTCCCGCAAAGTTCGCCCGATTTTTAGTTCAATTGTAGCATTTTATAATTCCTATCTGCCCATGGCACTCAAGGACTGGAATAAATTACCCGATAGCGTTGTAACCGAGCCTAACTCTGATAGATTTGCCGAAGAACTGATCAATTACCTTGAACTTACAAATATGTCTATCTGCTAAATTTTTTCTTCTTTTTTATGTTCACAGTGCATACCGTTAAAATAATAATAATATTGTGTAATGTTGATAACTACTTGTATTTTGTTGTTCTTTGATTCATCTGTATTGCTGACTTCCTCTCTGTGAGTGTTAATTTATTTTAATCTATGATTATTAGTGTGTTATTGACCCCCCTTGTATAATGCCCTAACGGGCCCTCAAGGAATAATAAATGAATGAATGAATGAATGAATATAAAAACAAATAATTTCTGCTACCTGTAAAGGGCCCAATTTTCCCAAAAATTATTTTCCCTAAATTTTTTTATATAAATAACGATACGTTCTCAGACTTAGGTATCTGCGTGGTCTCCATCGTTAACATTACATAGGTAGAAAATTCAGCGTTCGAGAAAGCGATCTTTGCAAAAAATAAAAATAAAACGCATTTTTTTTAGACACTTGATAAAACGCACTCTTGAACTGAAAATGCAAGGTAAAGGAACCTTTTTATCGGCTTGTGTCCGCAACAGTAAAGCCGGTACTAAAAAACAATGGTACACGCATGTGAGACCTTAACTCTCGAGTTCTGTTCAGCTGGTTACGTTCGGTCGTAATGTAAGTAAAGTGCTGGTTTTCCCAGTTTTCTTTTAATATCGACTAGCTCGTAATTTATTCTACTAAGGAAGTATGCCTGCCCGCTCGCCCGCTGGGAACTTGTACTTTTGCCTTTCGTAATCATATAATCAAAAAAGTGTTTTAGAAATTTCTGCCCAGAATGGCGTACACGAACGCTCAATTATCTCCAAACGCACTCACAATTTTAATCTGCGGTCCGATTGGTTAATATTGCTTCCTCCAGTTTCTCGCATTTCCGATCAAACCATATTATTGATTTGCGTTTAGCGGTTTATCTTTCGTTGAACACGTTATTTATTGTGTTTTTTTATGTTTCCTATTGTGTAATATTTTACGCACCCCTACTAAAATTCTCTCGATATTGGTATTTAAGGAATAAAAAAAAAACGATTCCTGAAATTTTTCGTAGGCACTTACCCTCTCCCTCGCCGTGACTCACAAAACAAATAAGGCAAAATATCCACATGAGCAATTTCATGTCTCAAAGCTTCGATGCGATTTTTATGCTTTGCTATGAACCTTGTCTTGCGTACCTCGAAAGCCTGAAACAACTTAATGAACGCTTACCTTTATGAAGGTAAGCGTTACCTCAGGAAGGTCGGTATTATTACATCACAAACAGGTTCATTGTCCTGTCAGGACGAAACGTACTGAAATTACCTTTTCGTTGGCGCTTTTTTTTTTTTTGTCTTTTCGTCACTAAAATAAACATTTCAATTGCTTACGCTTCCTAGAAAACAAAAAGGGAGTTCAGTGCACTGTCAGGTAGCTTACAACGTAAGAAGCATTTTCCGGAAGGTGGGCGTCTTTTTTTATCGCAATCTGCGTAGAGAATAACCTTTACGCAAACTGCAGAGAATTGCGCAGATCAGCTACACGCGCACAAATCATCACAGAAAACCCAAAATTGCAATCGGATGTTAACGTTCTCTTTCTTAAAAAAAAAACAAAAAAACGAAGCGGCCGAACTTCGCGACAGTACTCTTTTTTTCTGAAATACATGACATAAAAAGGAGGCGGATTCCGAAGTTTTGCAGGGTTGTCCCTTTAAAAAAAAAACAAAAAAAAAAACTCTGTGGGGACTGCAGTGTTATTAGTAGCATTATAATACCTAGAATTTAAAAAAAAAAAACTTATATTGCCACGGTGGTTCACGCTGCAAATTCTTTGCCTTATTTTGCTTAAATACACATGCCCTGAAATGCGCATTAGTGTAGGCAAGCAGACTATGATAGACTATATAGACTACACGAGGCTTAACCACGCCAGGGGAAATATAACAAGAAGGCGTCGTTACACTTTTGCAGTTATTTACTTGAAAATGCAGGTTTCAAATTGCACCAGTAATAGCAAAAACGAGAAAGAAAACAGTCACAATATAAGTTAACTTACGGAAATAAGTTGAAGTTAAATAAATGAGAAAAAAAAACAGTAAAATTTAAAGGATCGGAAAGCGACGTGTGAGTTACCCAGCTTCCTGCTTGTGTTGGATTAAAAAAAAAAACGTTTGACTGATGGCTAAATTCGTGTTGATGGAGGGGTGAGGGCGACCTCTGCGCTCCACCAAGAGTACCGACGGACCCCGTTCTCCACTTCAAGGTTCTCAGTCAAACGATATTCGATCGGCACAAGGACTAAACAATTTAGGTGGAGTGCCTCCAAATTCAGCCCTAAATTTTGCTTCTGTTTGGAAGGGGTACAGGAAAGGGCGGGGGAAGGGAGGGGGGGGGGGGGGGGGGGGGGCGAGTAGCGTGACTCCGTCAAAACGAGCACATGTAGAACAAAAAAAAAAAAAACATTCCTCTCCGCTGCTGTTCAGACAAAGCTCTCTACGAGGGATGCTGTGGACGAAACAGGGGGTGCAGCTCCAAGTCGGCATTTTCGTCCACTATTCCACAAGATCAACGCAAAAAACCAGGAGATTGCGGGGAAAAAAAAAGGATAGCTCTTCCGTACTATCACTCTTTCTCCACCACCCTTGCTCCTCGCACAACCATGAATGGTGAGACGGTCTTCCCCGTCCCATCACCGCCGTCCCTCCGGGGTTCTGGAAGTTCTCCGCGCATCTAGAAAAAAGGCGCGACCCTGGGAGGCGCTCTCTCAGTTCCCCCCCCCCCCCCCCCCCCCCCCTCTTCTGACATGACCAGAGAGGAACGGCAAGCGTACTGCGGTGATTAGGCTGTGAGGAGGTGTGCAGTGGCACGAGAACAGCAACGGGTGCAAGCAGAGGCAGCGTGTAAGCTGATTTATTGATTCTATAGTTTTATGGCGCTCGAGCAACTAAGCCAAGATGTGTCACGTGTATAAGCTATTGCAGGAAAAGTGTTAAGGAGAAGACAGAGCTATTGTAACTCGTGATTCAATAAAAGTATAAACATCGATCATGTAAAATAGATCAACATTAATATCAAGTAATTATCTACGATTGAAAAGACAAGGTAGAAAAGGAGGAATTATAACAGGTGTATACAGTCAGTTATGTTTAAGAATTTCCAAAACTTTCCTGAAAGGTACAAGAGGTTCATCTTCCAACAAGAATCGGGGATGAAATGGAAGATGGGATACAAAAATACTAGTAAAACATGCCCGTGTTTTTTTTTTATCTAAGTACCTGCAGTGCCACAGAATATGAAGTTATGCCGCATTGCTCCCAGCCCGGGTACAGTCATCAAAAAAGTAAGTGCACATGTCTTAAACGTCTGTGTCCAATACGCAAGCGACGAATTTAAACCCCGTGGTAATGGTTCCTCTAGTGGTAACTCCCATATAGTCCTTAACAAAGTTTAACATTAACTAGTTCATTGTCGATTTTTTTATCCCATTCTAACTGTAAAAGTTCGCAAATTGATTTTTATAGCTTGTCTAAGATCTTCATAAGATAGGCCATGAGATGCTTTTAGGCGACCATTAACAGAGACAGCCAAAGTGTCTGCTGCTCCGTTACCTAGAATACATGGCTTGGCGCCCACAGTGCTGATGAGACAAGGTGATAAAGCGCGCCCAGTATTCAGCAAGGTATCACTTAACCGCCAGCTATTTTTCTGGAACGAAAAATCTAATGAGAGACAATTGATCGGCAAGGCCACGATGCTATGTTTGACCGGAGTTCTCCCAAACATTAAGCATGACATGTTTGCACGTAGCATTGTAAATAAACCGACTCAGCTTGAATCAGTACTCATGGAGCATGAACCTGATCTATTGATCTTAACCGAAACTTGGCCTAACTTCTGAAATAAAAAAAACTCAGTTTCTTCCACCAGGATATATAGTTTTCCGGAAGGAACGCAAAAGTAGGGGAAGGGGTGTTGCTATTATAATTAAGGACGAATATGCCTGTATTAAAATGCTTGTTATTGACGATATAGAATGTGTCGCTGCTAGGATTTTTATACGCGAGAGTCATGTTGCTGTGATTGCCCTTTGCAGACCCCCTGAATCAGACCCGAACTATTTCTCTGTGCTGAATGATTACCTTTGTTTACATGTTCAGGAAAACTACAAACTAGTTCTTTGGGGTGACTTTTACTTCCCCCATATTGAATGGAATAATCTATGCGAAAGCTCCAGCGATGGCGCCCGCTCTCGTTAGCTTTAGATGTGGCATTTTCTCATGACTTGACGCAAATTGTCAAAACCAGCACAAGAACGTAAAGCTAATCTGAGTCGTTACTCGACCTCATTTTTCTGAGTAGACCCTTTGTAGAGACGTCATACTCATTCCAGCTGATAGACAGCTTTTCGCACCATAAGCTATCGTAACATGCGGCTTGTTAAAAATTAAAGCTGAATCCTGCGACACACGGAAAATACTAACTTTTAGAAATGACACCGGGGTTTCGATTTTAGACTACTTGGATGAAAACTTCGAAGAATATAAAGAATATGCTTTTTTGCCTATATCACCATAGAGGATGGGGGGAAAGTTAAAAAAAGGCAATCAACAACTCTATTACGCGCTTTGTACCGTTTCGGATTAAAAGGATTGCCAGGAAATGCCCGTGAATTGCAAGAACAATTATGCAGTTAAAACGCAAATTAAAATATTACAAAAAGGATTAAAAAGAAACTTTCAACCTTTCAGCCCTGATAATGGCCGGCCGCAAGTCGGCAAGCCAGAGTGGAAAGTCTGGAAAGGTTGCCACCATCTATGAGCGACAGCAAAAACCAGACAACCGGCAAGCCGGTTGTCTGGTTGCCGCCGTCGATAATAGTTGGTGGTAGCTGTTCAGAGTTCTGTGTCGAGATTTGTTTGCCCACGGACGCGATACTGGGGAAACTACCCTATTGAAAATTCCATCAAGCTACGTAATTTGGGACACTGACTGCCAGTCAGCAGCCTTGGTGGAACGTGGTGGACCATCAGACGTCATCTGATGGTCCATCAGATGACGTCTGACTGCCACTGCCAAGGGAATTTCATCATCAGGGGCAGCATTTACATAAGAGTAAAGCTATACGCACTCATAAATATCGCCAAATGCCTCGATAAAACAAAATGTTCAAGAAAAAGAAAAAAAAAAAAAAAAAAAGCAGGACAACCGCGGATCGAACCCGCGACCGCTTGCGTACAAATCGGAAACACTAACCGCTATGCTACGCCACCGCTACAGAAACTCGATTTGACTATCCGTTTTATACGAGATGCTTCGGCTGCAAATGCAGTTAAGCCGTCAGCATGTTATGAAAGCACTCGTACATCACTCGCTGTACTTCAGTTCTACTCACCTGCCATGTAGAGCACTTTCGCGTCGTAGAATGATCCTTTTGTTTGCGCGTCATCGGCCCAGTAGACCTGGTACACCTTGTCGTCTTTAACTACACCGCTAAAGTCCCTTACATCGTCGGAACTCACAACAGGCTGGGTCTTGTCGAGTAGAAATTCTACTAAAACATAAGACATTGTAGAGCCCGAGCAGGATCGACAGGTTGGAGCGAGCGGGCAAACAAAACGAGACGAGAGCGATCGTTCATGAAAGCTCGGCGAAGCCTCCATGGGCGAAGCGAAGTGCGAAGTGTCGCGTTCGACGCTTCGGCGGCTTCGACGGGCTTCTGATCAAGGTCGACGGTCGGTTGCGTGTCACATCTCTAACGTCAGCGGTTTTATGGGCTCACGTCCCGAAATCGTTTTCTCGTGCATAGATTACTTTTCGTATTCATAGATTTGACAAAATAGTGGTATCCGAACGAACTTTACGTCCTTTGACCGTACTACTGTCTGCACGTCAAAGCTTTCTGACGTACAGTCAGAAACAATCGATGTACAGTCAGAATCACCACAAGGACATCCTGATGGCATTTCGCGGCGGCCGACTGCCACCAGGAAACCATCAGAAAGCCGACAAGCGGGGTCTGACTGGAGTTTGACTGTCGGTCAGAGTAACTTGTTGTCCAATCAGACATGCTTGACGTACAGTCAGGCACAGTCAGCGGTCCACTAGAAAACATTGACTGCCAAACAGCGTTACATTGATGGAT